CTTATTATAGGTTATTTTGATAATCTGAAAGGATTGCTGAAAAAGGAAGGAGAAGAGCAATTCCCTGTGCTTGAAGAGATGGAGATTTGGTTCTGCCCTATGTTGGTTATTCCGACCCTTTCTTCTGTCAAGAAATTGGAAGTCCGTGGGGACAAGTCAGATGCAATAGGTTTCAGTTCCATATCTAATCTCAGGGCTCTTACTTCCCTCTACATTCGCTGTAGCTTTGTGGCTGCTTCACTCCCAGAAGAGATGTTCAAAAGCCTTGCGAATCTCAAATACTTGGGTATCTCTTTCTTTCGGAATCTCAAAGAGCTGCCTACCAGCTTGGCTAGTCTTAATGCTTTGAAGCGTCTGGATATTACTGGGTGTCATGTACTCGAGAGTCTCCCCGAGGAAGGGGTGAAAGGTTTAACTTCACTTACGGAGTTATTTCTTGATGATTGTAAGATGCTAAAATGTTTACCGGAGGGATTGCAGCACCTAACGGCCCTCACAAATTTATCAGTGAGGGATTGTCCAACACTGGCCAAGCGATGTGAGAAGGGAATAGGACAAGACTGGTACAAAATTGCTCACATTCCTGATGTGTTTATTCGTAATTAGATGTTTTATTGTTTGCACAAGCAACAAGCCATAAATTAAACTTTGAAATAAAAGTGATTTGTGTATCATGGCTTAAGTCGGAATTTCAAGTTTTTTTCTCAATTAAGTTATATATATGGCGTTTTGTAAAAATTGGATAGTGTGGATTTTGATTTTATTCAAGTATTTATTAAGATATATACAAACAATATGGAATACACGCGCTAAGCACGTACTCAGAAATTAGTATATAAAGAATCATGTCCCAAAAAATAAATAAATGAAGTTCTTCTGTCCATGTTGAAAGGAAATGTGTGCTCTCCTCTGACAGAGATGAAGATAAACCAACCCCACAAGAAAAGACAGATGTGAAAATGGCTAGCAGTTTCCATGAATATGCATACCAATTACCAAGTTAAATCTTTTATTAATAAAAAAAAAAAGGGAAATGTTTCATATTTAAATTAGTAGGTGTGCAACTTTCCTTACTGAAGTATCACCAACTACCTCGATATCTTTGCTGATATATATCTAACTAGCGTACTTAATCGTGCTTCGTACGGGTATAAAAAGATATTAAATATATTTTTAAATAATTAATAAATGATACAATAAAAGAGAGAAATACAAATTAAGTTATGATTCTGATATTATCTATTCAGAAAAATTACTAAAAAAATCTCATGCTATATTTTCAATTTAAAATTACTGATAAAAAAGACGAACACATAAAACTTGATATGGCAATTATCAAATTCGGAGAAGGGTCAGATTACTGCCGGCAAAATGAGCCCATATTTTGATGACCCGCCCAACCCATCCATAGTTTAATGGGTTGGGTGAGTGATTTTTTACATGGGTAAAATATGGGTTGATGCCCATATTTAACCCATAAAAATATGGGTAATGTATGGATTAGTCAAATGGGTTAAGCTTCAAACTTTTATTACTATAAATTCACGATATCACTAAAAATATTGTAATTTCTCTTGCTTATTATGTTCTTCTATAGAACTAATTATTTTTCACTATAATTGAAAAGGTGAAGTCTTTGGCCCTCCAAAAATATATATTTTAAATGTACATTTCTTTTGTTATTTATAATTATATTTATTTATTTATTTAATTTTATATTGGATAATAAATACATAGTGTAAAATAAGCAAATCATGTATTAGTATTGACATTGCTTAAAGTGCATTAAGCATGTTTTAGTCCTAAAATGCAAATATTCATTTACTTTGAAATTAAAAATATTTTCCCCTTGTTATTACATAATTTTATTTTATATTGAAAAGTTAAAGGTTTTTTTTTACTTTTATGATACAATAAAACTAAATGAAGCATTTTCAACATTTTTCATCTTAAAAAAAGACTAAAATATTTTCTCCATGTTGAATTCTTAAGTAGAGTACTATTTACTCATGAAAATATGGGTAAACTAGTATTTTACCCAATCCATTTCTTACCCAATCAATTTTTACCCATATCAAATATGGGCGGGTTAAATTATTACCCATTTTATATTGACCCATTTTCAACCCGCCCAAATTTTACCCAACCCGCCCATTTGCTATCACTAGGTCAGATATAGTTATGTTGTATTGGAAATAGTTTAAATATACTTCTGTTTTGCTTTTCTTAACGAAGCAGCTCAAAGAAAAGAGATTCTCTTCTGTTCTGAATCTCTATTTGCTACACTTGGATCCTTAATCCAATAACAAACAATTAACTTAACAGGCATATTGTTTATCAAATTAAACAACTGAGTGTAAATTTTGTCTAACAAAGAAAAAAATGAGTATGCATGTTTTCTCCTTGTTAGATTTCTTTCAGAGTGGAATAAAGTTGGAGCATAGAATTCCATCGTTCATTAAAGTACCAAGTTCAGCAAAAGTACGATAATGGAAAATGATCAGAAAGTACCAAGTTCAGTAAAAGTACCAAGTTCTGCCTATATGTTGAGTCTATTTCTTTATGGCATGCTAGGTTAGGACATGTTAATATCTCATATATAAAGAACATGCAATCTCTTGGTTTGATATCTGGTTTAGACTCATATAAATTTGATAAATGTGAAATTTGTTCTGAAACTAAAATGACTAAAAAGTCATGTTTTTCAGTAAATAGAGAAATTGATTTATTATCTTTGATTCACATTGATTTGGGTGATTTAAAACAAACTATGACTAGAGGTGGTAAAAGTTATTATGTGACCTTTATTGATGATTTTTCTAGATTTACTAAGTTGTATTTGCTTAGAAATAAAGATGATGCATTTAATGCTTTTATATCTTATAAATTTGAGGTTGAAAATCAACTTAGTAGAAAAATCAAGAGAATAAGATCCGATAGAGGTGGAGAATATGTATCTTTGAATGCTTTTTGTGAAAAAGAAGGAATCATTCATGAATTAACTTTGCCTTATTCACCTGAGTCAAATGGAGTAGCTGAAAGGAAAAATAGAAGTTTAAAGGAAATGATGAACCCTTTGTTAGTTAGTTCTAATGCTCCTGATAATTTGTGGGGTGAAGCTATATTATCTGCATGTCACTTACAGAATAGAATTCCTCATAAAAGAACTGGTAAAACTCCTTATGAATTGTGGAAAGGTTGTAAACCTAACTTGAATTATTTAAAAGTGTGGTGTGTCTTGCTAAAGTTCTTTTGCCTAAACCTAAAAAGAGGAAAATAGGTTCTAAAACGACTGATTGCATGCTTATTGGTTATGCTGAAAATAGTGTTGCATATCAATTTCTTGTTGTGAAAAGTGATGTGCTTGATAGCAATACTATTATTGAGACAAAGAATGCTGAATTTTTTGAATATGTTTTTCCATTGTCTGATAAAATTTCTCATGCACCTGTTGAAAGAAATAATGAGAATACCTCTAATGAGGAACTGCGAAGGAGCAAAAGGCCTAGAAAAGAGTATTCTTCTTATGGAAATGATTTTCAAACTTTTCTTGTTGATAATGAACCATCAAATTATTTTGAAGCTATATCTTCTTCTGATGCTGAATATTGGAAAGAGGCAATAAAAATAGAAATTGATTCTATCATGAAAAGTAAAATATGGATCTTAACTGATTTACCTCCTGGTGCAAAATCAATTGGTTGTAAATGGATTTTCAAAAGGAAACTTAATCCTGATGGCTATATTGATAAATACAAAGCTCGCTTAGTAGCTAAAGGATTTTCGCAGAAACAAAATATTGATTATTTTGATACATTTGCATCTGTGACTAAAATCTCTTCTATTCGAGTTTTAATTGCCTTAGCCTCTATTCACAAGCTTTTTATTCATCAAATGGATGTTAAAACAACTTTTTTAAATGGTGATTTAGCACTACTAAAAAAACTGCAAAAAGAGACTTAAAAAAGAGACCTCAACGGTAGGTCGCTATAATGTAGGTGACTTTTGTGTAGAGACGTCATGAGGTCGCCAAATAGAGACCTCACGAGGCCACCAATAAATTTTCCGAATTTTTAAAAAAAGAGACATCATTAAGTCGCAATTTTATAATTTACTTTTGTTTTATTTTTAATAAACGTGGCCTCATGAGGTCACTATTATATTATTTATTTTAATTTTAATTTATATGGTTCAACCTGAGGGATATATTATCCCCGGACAAGAAAATAAAGTTTGTAAATTAATGAAATCTCTTTATGGCCTTAAGCAAGCTCCAAAACAATGGCATGAGAAATTTGATCAATTCTTAATAAGAAATGGTTTTCTTCTGTTGAAGTGGATAAGTGTGTTTATACTAAAGTGATAGACAATGATTATGTCATAATATGCTTATATGTTGATGACATGCTTATATTTGGTACAATTTTGTATATTGTGAAAAGTACCAAACAATCCTTGTCTACTAATTTTGATATGAAAGATCTGGGTGAAGTAAATATGATATTGGGAGTTAAAATTATAAGGAGTGAAGTAAGATAATGTTGTCACAATAACATTATGTGGAGAGACTTCTTAAAAAGTTTAAATGTTTTGAAATGACTCCTCTAACCACTCCTTATAATGCTAACTCTCAATTTAAAAAGAATTATGGTGACCCAGTTGCTCAATCTAAATATGCGTAGATTATTGGGAGTTTAATGCATTTAATGAATTTTACTAGGCCTGATATAGCCTATGATGTATGTAGACTGAGTAGATATACTCATAATCCCAATAAAGAGCATTGGTTTGCACTAATTAGACTGATGAAATATTTGAGAGGAACCATGAATTATGGTATCCTATATAGTGGATTTCCTTCTACAGTAGAAGGGTATTGTGATGCAAACTGAATCTCTGATTCAGCTGAGACAAAATCCACTAGTGGGTATGTGTTCACCTTTGGTGGTGGTGCAATATCGTGGAAATAAGCTAAACAGACGATCATTGCTAGATCGACTATGGAGTCAGAGTTTGTAGCTCTGGAGCTAGCTGGTTCTGAGGCTGAGTGGCTCTTAGCGCATATCCCTTTAATAAAGGATGTGTTGCCTCATGTGTTTATACATTGTGATTGTCAAGCCGCAATTGCTATTGCGAAGAATAAATCTTATAATTGTAAGAGCAGACACATGAAATTAAGGCATGATGTCGTTAAGCAGCTGCTGAGAGATGGAATAATTTCCATTGATTATGTGAAGTCAGAAATGAATTTGGCCTATTCACTGACTAAACCTGTGGGAAGAAAATTAATTCTGCAAATTGAATATCGTGGCACACTAGAGAGTCTTCCCGAGGAAGGGGTGAAAGGTTTAACTTCACTTACGGAGTTATTTGTTGATCTAAAATGTGTGCCCGAGGGATTGCAACACCTAACAGCCCTCATAAGTTTAACTGTTAGATAATGTCCCGAACTGAAAAGACGATGTGAGAAGGACATAGGAGAAGACTGGCACAAAATTGCTCACATTCCTAATTTCAGGATATAGTAGAAAGTTATTTGTAATTGTTTCTTTGTTTGTGAATGTCCCAAAGTGGTTCTTGGATGTAATTTTGTGATTTTCTTTTGGAAACAAATCAATGATTTCGAAGATCTGTTTCACTATTCGTATTATACTTGTTACTTTGTTGATAATCACTTTGGGAATGAATATTGTGGCAAATGGAAAAAAGACCAAAAAGAACAATTCATGATCTCTTTTTTTTTTCTGTCTGCCTACTCATAATTTATTTACTTTTTGTGCTAATAAAAATAAGTTATTTTTCTCACATTTTAATTAATCTTGCCCTGAAACTTGTTTTTCTTCAAAATTTTCACACATATGATTACAGCAACCAAAAAAGGAAACCCAAAGAGGGGGCAGATCATGGCCGGCAAAGCTAGGGTCTCGAGACTGAAAATGCCAAATCAATTGAATTTATTCAACAATAGTTTTTCTTTTATAATAAGCTTTACAAAGATCTATAGTACAAGTTGAGATATTATCTCATCATTTTTCAAAAGCATATACTCAAATGAATGGGAAAGGAAACACCAAGTCAACAACTAGTGATATTGACTAGAATGCTGAATGCCTTGATATTTGGTTCTGTGGAAAGAAAAGTCTTGGTAGTGGCAATGAAAGTCATGACATATGCTGTTTACTTTGAATAGTCGAGTTCACAAACTGATCAATTATTGTAAATTCACACACATGATCTTGAATAAATCAGTCACTTTAATCTGTTTCAATTAACTTTTGTGTTACAGTGAATTCCAACATATGGCTGAAGCTTTCCTTCAAGTTCTGCTAGGCAATATCACTTCTTTCATCCAGGGGGGACTTGTATTGCTTTTCGGTTTCAAAAACGACTTCAAAAAGCTTTCAAGCACATTTTCTACAATCCAACTTGTGCTTGAAGATGCTTCGGAGAAGCAACTGAAGGACAAGGCGATAGAGAATTGGTTGCAGAAACTCAATTTTGCTGCATATGAAGTTGATGACATCTTGGATGAATGTAAAAAATGAGGCAGCAAGATTCAATCAGTCCTTATTAGGGTGTATTCATCCAAAGATCATCATTTTTCGTTACAAGTTCGGAAAAAGAATGAAAAGAATGATGGAGAAACTAGATGCAATTGCTGACGAAAAGAAGGAAGTTTCATTTGCGTGAAAAGATTGTTGAGAAACAAGTTGCTAAACGTGAAACAGGTGCTCATCTTAAAACAGTGTTTAGCCAAGTACTTACTAATAGCTTAGTTTTATATTCAACTTTTTGTAGTTACCAGATCAGTGGCGGAGTCAGAAATTTCGCCAAGGGTGTTCAACCTTTAAAGAGTCGATAATTATTTTTTTCTGGCGGAGTGAGTACCCAAAACATTTTTTTTTTTTACCGATGAGTAGGTGCACAAAAATTTCTGTGTTTTTTTGTTTAAAAAGAGATTTGTATTAAAAAAATACAGCAAGTAGGAATTGAACACCAGACCTCCATGAAGTGAACGAGTGCACCTACCGCTGGACCATCTGCTTTTGTTGTGTCAAAGAGTGTTCAATTAATACATATCCAGATATTAGACTAAATTTTGCCTATATACCCGATATAATTTTCCGACAAAGGGTGTTCATCTGACCACCCTTACTAGGCTATAGCTCCGCCCCTGTACCAGATTCTATACATGTTTGTTCCATGTCAACCCTTCCTTGTGTCTTTTTGTTTTGCAAAAATCTTCTATTATTCCTGCTGACTCCTTTTAGTGAGCTTGAATTTAATAAAATTTGTGTTCGCATTGCTTGTGAACAGGTTTTGTTTTAGCAGAGCCAAAAGTTTATGGAAGGGACAAAGAGAAGGATGAGATGGTGAAAATCTTGATAAACAGTGTTAGTAATGCCCAAGAACTAATATAGTGCTCCCAATAGTTGGTATGGGGGGACTAGGAAAGACGACACTTGCCCAAATGATCTTCAATGATCAGAGCGTGACCACACATTTCAATCTAAAGATATGGGTTTGTGTCTCAGATGATTTTGATGAGAAGAGGTTGATAAAGGCAATTGTAGAATCTATTGAAAGAAGGCCACTTGGTGACATGGACTTGGCTCCCCTCCAGAAGAAGCTTCAGGAGTTGTTGAATGGAAAAAGATACTTTCTCGTTTTAGATGATGTTTGGAATGAAGATCAAGAAAAGTGGGATAATCTTAGAGCAGTATTGAAGATTGGAGCAAGTGGTGCTTCAATTCTAATTACTACTCGCCTTGAAAAGATTGGATCAATTATGGGAACTTTGCAACTATATCAGTTATCAAATTTATCTCAAGAAGATTGTTGGTTGTTGTTCAAGCAACGTGCATTTGGCCACCAAACCGAAACAAGTCCTAAACTTATGGAAATCGGAAAGGAGATTGTGAAGAAATGTGGGGGTGTGCCTCTAGCAGCCAAGACTCTTGGAGGTCTTTTATGCTTGAAGAGGGAAGAAAGTGAATGGGAACATGTGA